CATAATTTTATTATTACTTTGTATTATCCAAAAGTTTAAAACAAGTGAATTTATTTGGTCGACCAAATGACACCAGCTAGCCAAATTTAAAGACTACTATCAACAAAAGCATAACTGAATTAGTTCAATTTGTGTTGGGTTAACTGTGACGTCACTCGGTGAATACTTTAAAAGTCATCCCATTTAAAACGTACATCGATACATCCTTTTTTAAATTACGACGTTCAAACATTTTTAAATTCAAAAGATCATTTTGACTCAGAGATAATTAAACACATTTAAAAATTATAGGAAGGAGTAAATAAATTGGCAAGTAGTAGTTAATAAATTTAAATACTATGGCCATGTTATCTAAACATTTTTTTTATATACAGAGTATACAAAAAGTAACGGTAACATACTAATATCAGATTCCTGATAGGTTTGCAAAACAATTTTGAATAATTTCGAAACGTCGGCCGGGCGCGCTTCCTTCGCTCGCCCTCCTCTGTACTGGTTTGGAGGTGGGTGGGAGGAAAGGCTTGTCATGCTAACGACTAAACAAATTCCGTAGTGAGAAAATGCCTAGTTGCCAAGTTATAGATGATTTCAATTTCACTTTAGTTTATATTGAGATATTATGTTAAGAGTTAATTAATATAAAAGGTAACTGCGCATTTCCTCACCACTGGATTTAGGTTTTTGTTTAGTCGACATCACGACAAGTGTTCCTATGGCAACGATTTCTCCGTAACCGACTACAGCTACACTAAAGTGAAAATTAAATGACCTATAACTTGCCAACTAAGCATATTGTAACGAAAGTCTAATTTATTTAAAGTTTATTTATTTAATAACACTATTTACAATTTATTTCAGACCTAATATTTAATTTATATAATATTCGAACACTAACTAACAATTCTAATTTATTTCTTACACTTTTACTATTCAATACAACGTTCTATATTAAACTAAACTCGGCGCTGATACGTCGACTATTTATATTAATCCAACTCGCTAATGGAAGATACGGGAGACTCTCGAACATTCGTTTTTATGACTAAGCGGCATTCTCCGCCATTCCAGTCGCTTCCAGTACATTAGCGGCAGACATTTCCTCGTATTCGAGACCCGGGCCGGATGTTTCCACACGTCAGCGTTGCTTCTATCACGAATCGGTTGCGTGCTTAGACAGAGTCGGACTTCATGACAATATCCTCACCACGGGATTTGGTTTTTTGTTGTCATTACTATGTCAAGCGTTCCCATGGCAACAGTTTCATCATAACTGATTTCGTCTAAAATAAAGTGAACATTAAATTATCTATAACTTGGCAACTATGCATTTCCTCACCACGAGATTTGGGTTTGTGTTTACTGGTTACCATGGCAACTGTTGCTATGGCAACAATTTTTACGTAACTGATTACGGTTAAACGAAATTTGACCTCAAATTCCATATAGAAATCCCCAAACTTAAATTAAATTTAACATATGACATCATATAAAAGGTTACCATGGTATGTGTGACGTCACCTTAGTAACCACAATACTTTAACCAAGTATGTTGTGGTAAGATTTTAAGGAAATGCCTTAAAAGTGTGTAATGATTGTATTTCAATTTAATTATATTATTTTATATTAATGTCTGGACTATAAATGTATACCTAATATATTAGCAATAGTTCCCGGACTATAACGTTTTCTTATATGTCTTGTAAAGCGTAAAGACGACAAATAAATATTCAGCTTCCAAATAGTTGTTTCAATGATAACACACCGAGTGACGTCACAGTTAACCCAGCACAAATTGAACTAATTCAACTATCCTCTTGTTGATAGTACTCTTTTAACTTGGCTTTAATAGAATTGGTAATTAAAAAGTTTCAACTAGCAATGCTCGCACCTCGGATAAACCTCATTGGTTACGATATCGTCACAGCGCAATATTAAAAAGTATATATGTTAGTTTTAATAAAAGTATATGGGTTTGTAAAACAAGTAAAACATTAATTTATTATTATATATTTTTATCGCTATATTCAATAAAAATTAATAATAAAATAAAGGCAAGCAACAGTATTTACGGGAAAATGTATGAGAAGTTGTATAAGTCTAATAAGTTGTCTTTGAAGAATTAACCAAAATAAAAAAAATATCTTTAAATAATTAGCGTGAAGTTAAAATGTTTAAACAGAAGAATTATTATTTATATTTTCAATTTTGTTTGAAAGATAGAATGAATGATTAAAACTGGTTTTCTATTAGTAAATCACAAAATTGCATTCCAGCCACATACAATAATCAAAGGCAGAAATCTAGTTCTTGTTATTGAATTTAAAGATTTAATTTATTGTTAGTTAAATTTAAATAAATGTTTAATATAAAAGATATTATTATTTTGATGTCAAGACAAAACAAAAATGTCACTCGCGTGATATTTATTGTTTAATTAAAACCTTTCAAGTGTCTGATGTCTACTATTTTCAATATTATTGTTATTATTACAAAAATAAAGGTAATTTTTTTTCTTATTGTACACATGTCCATTTATTTCTTTGATTTAATTTCCACTTTGCTACTGAAATTTTTTTATAATTTACACTGTTTTTTTGCTAGTATTTTTAATATTTTCAACACAGCAACTCCGGTTGCTTATTGTATTATTTTTACCTACTTTTTGAAAAAAAAAAAAAAGTAAAATGTATACATGTATTTGATATGTTACAATTAGAAAATATCGCCCTAAAATGCATGAATTATCTGCAGCTAGCGCTAGTATCGCTTTGGCTTCCTCTACCATGACTTCGCACTGAGCGAATAGGAAGGGCCTCAGTAATAATATAGAACTATACAGCGAATTAGATTAGACTAGTGATAACAAATGTTATGTTTTTAAATACATAAGTTTTATTGTAGTAAGTTTCTATAATCATCGAGAAGGGTGCGGGGGGGAGGAGATTACATGACCACTTCTTTATTTCAAAAAGGAGGAGCCATAGAAAAGTTTGGGAACCACTGCTCTACAGGGCGTTTGTAAAAAATATTTTTTTTTTGTATATTATCTGTTTCCTCTTCTTGTATGTGATATCCGAAGTATACATTTTTGTTGATGTGATGTTGTACTTGTTTGGGAAACATTAATGATATACCGGGTATATTATAAAATAGCGTCACTCACTGAATCAACTTTTTGGCTTACCCCTTATATGTATATTTTTTTATAATAATAAAGTGTTTACAGACACTTATATAACCATATATAAATAATCCGTTTTTTATTATTTTAAGCGCTAAACGATTTTGTAAACGGACAGAATTTCTGCTCACCAGTTTTTTTTTGTGTCATCGGCATCAACTGCTACGGTTATTAGCCTCGTGTTCTGTGTGTTTTAAACTGATCCATACCCTTTTACTTCGTTTTTTTTTTTTTAATTTGGTGTCATCGGCGTCGACTACTACGGCCATTAGCCTCGTGTTCTGTGTAGGCTTTGTTACTGTTTCCCAGCGCCACTTTGGGAATAGCACTGTTAATTAGTACCCAACAGTGAATGGTCGAGTGGGGAATCCTTCCAAGGCATCAGAATTAATTTTAAATAATTAAATTAAATGAAAAAATCCCGGCCAACGGTGGGATTCGAACCTGGGACCCTTGGATCCGCAGGCAGAGACTACCACTGAGCCACCCGCCCCGACTGCCCACCACAGTTGTTTAAAAAAAAAAAAATTGGTTTTGTATTTTGGTAATCAACAATGACGAACAACTGCTAGACTAATTTTGTTTACAAAAACCGAATTGCCAGCATTCACGGTATTATCCACATAGTGGCCAAATTATTACGGGTATGTGAGAGTCTTGTTAGGATTGCATGGTTATAATTCGGAATTGACAACATAAGACTCTTAAACGCACAAAAGGTCCCAAAAAATTACATTAAAGAAGTAAATTTGCAATCTTAATGCCAGTGTTCTGTTTAATGTCTTTTTCTGGTTACAATTATTGTAGCCGAATGTGATTTACAGGAAAGGATAGCATTTATATACACTGTGGCAACAGTGTAAAGCTGGAATCATAATAATACGACCTGCAGCGCTATTCTTGACATCCTTCGTAATTACATGTATACTTGCCCTTGTGATGGGTTTACTTACACATACTTTCCTAAAATGAGATTCTTGAGACCCTTCGCAATTACTTGCGAATGCTCTACATGCTCACTTTGGCAACGTTACAATTATATTAAAATGACACGCTGAATGACAGCATGATACTAATATTTTGTATCATGGAAAGACAGTTTTCATTATCTGACTGCATTTAGCTCTTCAAAATTTCTTGGGAAATGTTAAATCTGTTAAGAACAATCTGGTTCATTTAAAGCACTGCTGATTTCTGATTTTCTGATAAGAGTACTCGAATGCCTTGCGTATAATCAAGAATACACAATTTGCTATTTCGTTCGTAATGTCAAACTTTACGAGTGAACTTGAAATTTACGAGTGGCCAAACAGGGCTGCCGGTTAATTCATAAAACGCGTGCTCAGATAAACAAACTCGCACAAACTATCCCCACTCAATTTAACAGCCATCTCGCTTTTTCTAAAGCGGCAGCCGATTATAGTAGTTTTTCATCATTAATATATAGCTTAAAGAGTCAAACCGTAACTTTTATTATCTATGAATGTCAGCAAAATTACTTTTATGTCTTCAAGTATTTTTGAAAATTATGAGAATTCACATTAATTAGGAGATCAAAAACTGCAACATATATAAAATTCAGCAGATTAAACCAAAAGCCTTTTGCGATAACGAAATTGTGAGGCCTTTAGTGCAAATTGCATTTTTAACACCCTGTATACCATAAACAGAACACATTTGATAATAATCCTTTCAGGCAGCTTTAAAGATAATGCAGAAAAAAATGTTGGTACCTATTTGTTAATATTTTTATGCAACAGTTCAAGATATTCGCTAATAATTCTTTTTTTTTTAAATAAATCTGATTACGTATACTCACCATTTCAGTGGTAAGACAATTGATAGCGTGCTCCACAGTTTTTTTATGATGAGACTTAGTAGACGAATGAGTTGCTTGCCGCAAGGGAGTTGTTGGACAACCTAAAGCAATCGAATTCACATTAAATTACAATACAAATGTAATACAGACATAATGTTTTCTTGCGCTCAATAAAAATTGCCGCAATTTATATAAAACATTTTTCAGTGTTATACAGTTACGATTGTATTAAAAATGTTATTAATAACTAAACATTTTTATGTAAATCCCTAAAATCCATGCATAATTTCATGGATGTAGTGTCAAATTTACAAACTAAATTTATTTAAAAAATCCCCCAACCATAAATATACAAAATACAAATGGAATGATTCAATGTTTTTTGTTCAATACATTACAGATGGATTTAAAACAAAGTTGATAACAAGAGCTGTTATTGCTTCCTGGTTACCTAAAAGAAAATCCTACTTCTAAACATCACCCATTCATTCCTACTAAGGACATTGATGCATAGCACATCACTAAATAGTTAGTAAACAAATACAGGGTAACTATTCTAATGAGCTAACAGAGAGAAAAACAAGAAAGCCAAATTTAATTCTTCGAGATTTTTTAATAATACTGGCTGAAAATTATAGTCATATAAGTTTTATAACATTTAAATGCATGTTAGTTTTGATTTTTAATATATTTGGAATGGAATGTGTCTCTACTTAAGATGTATGTACGAGGAGCATTACTAAAAGTATGTGAAATGGACTATTCCTTGTATTCTTTGCAATTTTCGACAACAAAAGCGATTTTTTGGTCGCAACTATTGCACTATATTAGAGGATAGATAATGCTGACCGGTACATTTCAATTTATTTGCCAGAAGTTATGGTCGAAATCATAAGAAATCGGAAAATCATTCTTCATCATGGCAATGCAAGCCCTGTGTCACGTTAGCTCCTAGCCAATAGAGATGGGAAGCACAATTATTGTATTGTGCTGGCAGTACAATTTACTATTACATGGGCATCACACTTTGCATTTGTTGCAAGGGCATGTTCGTCAACACACTCAACAGAGCACACTAACGGGAACTATTGTTAATTCGTACGTGTTAATTTAAAAAATGCCTAATTACGATTATAGTACTGACATGGGCATTGTTGACATGACGTCGCTCGGTTCCGTTTCACAATTGTACGGTCGTTCTGTGCGACAAAATTTGGTGTACTGTACGAAGTGTACTAGTACAACTAATTGTATTGGAATTGCCCATGACTACTAGCCAATCAGCTCCAAAACCATCCGGAGCTCAATGCGCCAGCGGTCGAAAAATAATCTTTTACAATAATTATTTATTCTAAATTTCAATATAGAGATTATGACACCTTTAGTATGGCCTTTATTATTTTCATTACCCTTTACATAATTATATTAGCGAATTTATAGAGGATTGAACTACAAAATAAATAATTTTCAGTGTTTTATAGCAGAAACGAAAGACGTTTTTTCTAAAATTTCGTTATGGCATTCGATAGATAATAAAAAACAAAAAACTTTTTTTAAATACCATTTTTAATGCTACATATAGGTGAAATAAGGATTTAGTGAGAGTTGAAATATTAATTTTTTTTATAGCCGGAGCAAATTTTGTTTTTTTTTAATCTTATTAAGCCACTCGATAGAAAATAAAAAAAAAACAACTTTTTTTAATAATTTTTTGAATGCTATAGGTGAAATAAGGATTTTACAGAGCTACAACCATCTTATTTCACATATAGCTTTAAAAATTTTTTTTATTATTATTATTATTATTATTATTATTATTATTATTATTATTATTATTATTATTATTATTATTATTATTATTATTATTATTATTATTATTATTATTATTATTATTATTATTATTATTATTATTATTATTATTATTATTATTATTATTATTATTATTATTATTGATAAAAAGGAAAAAAATGTTCTAGTTCCAATAATATTGAAAATTCAACTCTCTCTAAAATCTTGATTTCACATATAGTATTCAAAATGGTATTAATATATATCGAATGGTGTCTAAAATCCTTACTTCACATAAATAGTATTCAAAATGGCATTAAAAATTTGTTTGTTTTTTTATTATCTATGGAGTGGAGTAATGAAATTTTAGAAAAAGACCTTTTCTGCTATAAAACATTTTTAGATTATTTTGTAGCTCAATCTTCTTTAAATCGCTTATTATAATTCTGAAAAGGGCAATGCAATGGTAAAAGCTAGTAAATCACAATTAATTTGTTTCTTGGAAAGTGATTTTATATATTCTTGTTTGCCACAGCTACTTAAAATACGCATGAACTTAACAGAAGATCAAAACTATATAATTTTCTCTCCTCTTCATAATGAAAATAAAATAAGTTACAGCCGAACATTTATTTTCGCGATAAAGATACATGCTCTGTTAAGCCTTGGGAAAACTTAAATAAATTTTATTGTAATTCCTTACAAAACATAGTAAAGAAGTCTGCTATGTTCTACTTTAGGTTTTTGTAACTTTTTTTCCATATCTCAAAATAAGATAAAGCCAAAAAGATAGTAAATTTAGACATGCTATGTTTCTGAAGTAGATAGTGCATTATTATCAATTATGAAAACATAGTAAATAGAGAGATGCTATGTTTCTCAAATTTATTAAAATTAACTCAAAAAAATCACTAAATTTAATGATAGCAAGTCTTACTATCTATTCTAGTGTACAAAAGTGACATGCTATTTTTTATACATGTTAAATTTATTGAAACATGCGACTTAATAGGATTCTGTAAATTCGTAAAAGCCTTATTTAAAGAGATAATCCAAATTTGAAAATAGCTATGTGTAGAGAAAAACATAGTAAGTCTAGTTACAGTAAAACTTAAGTAACATTAACAAACTGACTTACTAGCTTTTACCAATGCACGACGTTTTAATATCTATCCAGTAGCGTATTAAAATTAAAAAACAAAATTTGTTCCAGCTCCTAAAATATTCAAATTTTAACCATCTCTAAAATCCTTTTATTTCAAATAAAATATCAATCAAAATGGTAAAAAAAATTGTTTGTTTTTTTTATTATCTATTGAGTGGCATAATAAAATTTTGTTCCAGCTCTAAAAATATTTAAATTTCAGCCCTTTCTAAAACCCTTATTTCACATATAGCATTCAAAATGATATTAAAAAGTTGTTTATTTTTTTATTATCTATCGAGTGGAGTAATGAAATTTTAGAAAAACCTTTCCTGCTATAAAACCCTGAACATTTTTAGATTATTTTGTAGCTCAATCCTCTTTAAATTCCTTATTATAATTCTGTAAAGGGCAATGAAAATATAGAAGACCATACTGAAGATGATATTCTTTATATTGAAATTTAAAACGAATAATTATTGTAAAGATCATTTTACGACCTCTAGAGCATTGAGTTCTAGCTAGTTTTGGAGTTGGCTGGCTAGGAGCTAACATGACACTGCAAGCGTTTACATATCACGACGAACTGTTGTCGAGTTTTTGACCAATAACAACACATCCAATTAGAGACTATTTGTCCATATTCGTCTGATTTATCGCCCAATGACTTATTATTATTTAAAAACAACAAAAATAAAATGCTGCGTGGCGAGCTTTTTTGATCGCATTTAAATCACTTTTGGAGGTAACTATCTTGGAAAAAGTTTTTTATTTTAATGCAAGCATATAGATTTTAAAGCAGAATAATTTTGAAAAGCAACAATTTTAGAAGTGCTTCTCGTATTGTAAAAGAATCTCGAAGCTTTAAATGATAACGATTACGGAAACACTCATCCAGTAGTATCATCACTCACCCATATCTCCACTACTTGATGATTCGGTAAAAGAGGGTGTACCTTCAGTCCAGGTCGGAGTGGAGCCTTCGACGGACGTTGGGGGCGTCCATGCCAACCCCCTGGAATGACTCGAGTGTCCACCCGCACCTGAACTGCCCGACTCAACGCTTAGCGATGAGGACTTGTTCTCCGGTCGAGACTCTAATTTTATGTCGCTATAACTATAAAGCAACAGAAAAGACAAACAGAAAATCTCGTCGTCAATTTTATACAACAAACAAATAAGTCTAGCTGCTACTTTTTCGAAATATCTACCCCGTTCGTTGATTTATAAACAGCGTGAAATGATGAACAATGATTTTTGTGGATAAGCCTGGAAGTGTTGTTATTTTAGAACTTTTAAATTGGAATTTAATTTAATAAAGTGTAGTTTAAGCTTCGAGGTCATCGACCTCCTCATCTTGCGCTCTCATTATCTATCTACTATTGTCATAAATTCGTTATTGAAGGAAGCGAGGAAACTCAAAAACTAGACATAGAGAGGGTGGGAAACTTTAATTATCTTGGCTCTGTCTTTACTGTAAACAGGGGAAATAAAAAAGAAATCTTAAAATTAAAAAGTGATTAATGTGTGCTTGGCAAATCATTAAAGTCCCATGATCAAAAGTGGTATCCAACAAAGCTAAAATCAGGATATAAATACTGTAATAAGACCCACAATAGTTGCAAATTGTGAACCCTGGATAATGACAAAGGACAAAAACAATTTGGGGACATGGGAAAGAAAACTGTTAAGGAGCATGGAGGTGAAAAAATTGATTGGATTTGGCATAGAAGAGAACATAAGTAACTTATGACCTAAACAAAGATACAGGGTATAGTAAAAGTCATCAAGTCCCAAATAATATAGCGGATGGGACATATACTTCGAAAGGAAGTTGATAGATAAAGCGGTCCTAAATCACCAACCTCAAACTAGCCAAAGACGAGGTAGGTTGAGAGTAAGATGGCGACAACAAGAAAATCTGCAAATTTTAGGAATCAGCCGGTGGAGAGGGCCTGTCGCGCTTTCTATATATTGTCACATTAGGTACCAATGAAGTTATAAAATAAAAACATACAGGCTTAATACACACGATCAGTAAACAATATACAATTACCAACTTTTACCACAGTTAAACAATTTTTTTTTAAAACAACTCACCTCAAAGCATCGTCCTTGTAATTCCTGACGGCGATATGATGTAGCGACACGTACGACTGGGTGGTCGAAGACGCATGAGATCCAGAATGTACGTGGGAGGGCAGCGAAGATGCCGCCCCCATGGCTAGTCTTACGTGCGACGGTTCATCGTCCAAACCCTCGTACGTTGGAGGCGGCGTACTGCAGCAACTTGGAGCTACGCCTTTAAAAACAAACCGAATATTAGCACCCAAACGGAATTTACTTTAATTTATTCTAACACGAAAAAACTTACAATATTTTGTAAGACAATGGAACAGAATTATTTAATGTGGCTTCTCTAGCAACGCGAAATTCGATAAAAAACCGTACATCTACAATACGTGGAGCTTTATGTTCCAGCAATTTTGGGACATACAGTGTTAAGAGAGAACAGTACAGATACGCCGTATGTGATGACAGACGCAAAAACCAAAATTTGGACAATTTCACAAATTTGAACCCCTTGCACGGGATAACTACCCATTGAAAATTTTAAATGTCAGTAAGGGTCGACTGATAGCTCATTTGAAAGGGTTTTTGTATTCACCACTGCCCTCAATTTTTAACAGTTTAGCTTGCTAGAGAACCCATAACACATCGTTAACAAATAAATATTGTAAGCTTTCCAAATAATGAACAATAAATAACATTGTTAAATCCCACTAGTAAAAAATATTAGAGTATAAAATATAGAAAGAAAGAGACAAAAAAAGCAACAGCACAATTCCAAACGACAAAACATCGCAAAAAATAGAATGCAGTACACATACAAAATAAAGTTTACGATATCGTGCAGTTCCATCCTGTCGGGCGTGCCCTGCAAGAACCTAGCAAATAAAAATCAAATTAAAATAAATGACAGTAAAAATTGAATCATACTGCTCGATCAGGGCCAATATTGTTGAGTTACACGCCTCAGCAAAGCCGTTTTCTTTTGAACAAGATAAATATTTCTAATAATATACATTATGCATGAAAGTTGGTAGTAATAACTATTATATTTGGCTCCAATTTTGTTATTTAGTGTTAATGTGAGCATTGAAAACAGTCTTCACATCCCGGCGTGAATGTTTAGTGCATAGATAGAACATTATACAGTGTGAGCCAACAAAAATGGACAATTTCAAAATATCAGAAAACATTCAAAAAATCATCTTTTGTAAAATTTATTGATGGAAACATAATCTATACGAATATAAATATTGTGTAAGTGCATAATATTTAATTTTTTTATAATAATCTCAGAAAGCTGCCCTCCATTTTGTCGCGAACATTTTTGCGAGAACTGATTTAAGAATTTAAATTTAACTTTTGATGATATACTCGGTAGCTTTGTGAAGAACATTTTTTGCCAGATTCTTTTATTAAAGGAGTCTCAAAAGGTGAATTGTAAATGATGTACCAATCTCATTAAATAACAGAGCAATTCAGTTCAAATATATATACAGAGAATCACATTTAATATGTTGAGGCTGAAGCACAAACACATCATCATTAAGTTTGCTAATCCATAGTGAAAAACAAGAAATTAGTTGCTAACATAAACTCAGTATTTGTTAGTGATGAACATATCAACAACCCTCCAAATGGGGAAAAACTGTTTTGCAACAAATAAACGAAAGTAGAGGTAAAAATTTAAGTCCTAAAGAGGAAAAGATTTATTTTATTAATAGAGAAAAAAATAGTAGTTTATGTTACAAGGAAGAAAATTTGAGTTTTTCGTCTACGTTTCATGCATTGTTTTTATTCAAATGTGCTTAGATATTAAACAATATATAGAAAATTAAATCTAAAATGATTTTATTTCCAGTAATTTTTTCTTAACTAAGTTGACTATGAAAACAATTGAACAATTTCTGTCGTGTTTTGACAGACTATGAAATGGAAAAATTATAGCAATCCTGTAAGCCTGGTGATTTGACAATGTCAATGAAATAGTTACATAGATTGATCATCCATATTTTTCAAAATAAACATAAGCTTATGCCTTGAAGTAAAAATGTAGGTAATTATTTTTTTTACTATATATGGGTTTGTTAACACATTTTTGCAAAACCGATTCTGATTAATGATCACTTACGAGAGAATATGGCCAATCGCAAACGACCCGCTTTGAGCAATCTATATAACTACATATGTATCATTGACCCTGTCAATGACAACAGGCCCACAGGGTTGCCATATCTAAAATGTCAGTTCCCACTTGTCAGCAGTTTGACAGGTCGTTGGAATGCCTAATATGAAAGAACCTACCTCATTTTATTTGAGAATTCTAATCGGTATGCAACACTTTATACACTTAACTTTATAGGCCATGGCCGATAAAGTACTTTATGAAGTATATACAAAAGTTCTACTTTTGACTGTTTTCTGTCCGAAAAACGACGTTTTTTAACACATTAGAATAAAAATTGTATTTGCAAGTTAAAGAAATCCGTAGAGTACCCAAAAATAAATACAAGAGAGCCGTTTTTGTTTTTATTGGAAACACCTGATACCTGCATGGAAATTTGGTCCATTATTCCCAGATTGATACAATTATTGTTCTTTAATATTGGGTATCTAGTATGTAAAATGTTTGAATGCAACTTACTTTTAATAAATGATTAAAATATATGATTCAAATGTTTTATTGCCTTTTTCTTATGTTTATATTTTATGGTGTTATTTTACTTAAAAAACCAATATTTATGTTAAATACAATATTTTAATGTAAATATTAGCTTTTTAGTGTTGAATGCCAAATAATAAAATACTACATACCTACCTACCTCATTACCTGTAGACAATATAAAAAACAAAACGATTAATGACGTAAAACGTCATTCATCGTGAAAAAACTAAAAACATGTCAATTTCAGAAAAAAGTTAACTGTCATTGGAACACAAATGACGTCACACTAATATAGTGTATTCCTACAGGCAAGTCGAACTTACGATTCACGAGTACGGATCCAGTGAGGAAAAATTTTGTCTACCCAGTCAATAAAAAATTAAAGACAATCGCTCTAATGTTTGCATTTATTATGTCTGAATTGGGTAACTGTGACTTGTCTTAATTTATATATGTCGTAGTCAGATTACAAAACCCGTCGTTTTATAAATTGCCTAGCCGTTTTAAAAATAGCTGCCAAAATGACAAATTTTCGTTTACTTTTCATTATTTTACTATCTGGCTTGCCGGATTATAAAACGCCTAGGCGGTCAACACATAGCCAGATTCCCAAATATTTAAGATTATCCTCGGTTTGAACAATTTAATTTTGGCTGATAACAACTGTGTATTTAAATGAAAATGCAGAAAATAAAAAAAAATTAAATGATAAAAACAAACTTCATGTACAATGTGTAATTTCGCAGTAAAATTAAATGGAAGTGTAATCTTTGTAGTACAGATAAAGTAATGAAAATGCAGAAACTAAAAAAAATCAAATGATAAAAAACAAACTACATGTACAATGTGTATTTTCGCTATAAAATTAAATGTAAGTGTAATCTTTGTAGTACAGATGAAGTAATGAAAACACAGTGTAAAATAGATCAAAAACGTACAGCTGACAATGGTCCAAATCACAAAAAAAATATGGAAAGATTTGCAGGTGGTGGAGCATGTTTTTATAACATTTCCAAAATTTGCCAGGGGTTCGCTTAACACTAAAGCTGTGTTAAAAACTATTTTTGATGTACGAAATGGAGTATACCAGATAAAAACTGAGCATGGACTTTAAATCGAGGGTTTTCTAAGGACTTACCCCAGTTGGTACGTCAAATTTAAATATAGAAAATAGCATTATTACGTTAAGAGAAGCTATTTCTAAGGGTTTTTAATTTGGTTGGGCAAGGGTTTAAAGAAAGTTAGTGAAAATCCAGTAAAGTTTAATCCTGTACAAACAAATGTCTTGGTTTTAAGGCAAGGGAAAATGCCACAGTAGGTGTCATTTCAGTGGTGAATGTTCTAATAAATAAAATATGCTTATATATAAGATCCGACAGTACGCTTTCTGCACTCATCTGTTTTTAAATCAAAATACAACTTTTATAGATAATTATTGATAGAGAAATACGGTTTGGCTGAGTTGTCTATCGAAATATTGCCGTAAGTACTTTTAATAGTACTTTATTCTCTTATAATTGTTTATAGAAGAAAATTATTTTAATAAAAGTTGTTTGTAATGTTATTCTCTATACTTTTGGTCATAGAAAGGATTTCTCTAAAATGAAATATAATTAAGTAATTTGAGGAAAAGTGCAAAATATTTCTGTAAAGTAAATATTAAGTGGGGTCCATCAAATCAAAAAATGTTTAGAATACGAATTACAGATAAAATTATTCAAAACACTATTTCATAACTTCATTGTAAACAAAAATAAAATTTTACACTTTCTCAAATTTCCCCATTACGGTCCATGTATTTAAAAAAAATTACGTATTTGACCAAAAATTATGAAGTATAATATCACAAACAATTCTGGTTGAATTTTCTTCTATAATCATAAATAACAGAAATAAACCTTTAATATTACGCCATATTTTGATAGGCAAAACAGCAAAACCGTATTTCTCCATTAATAATTACCTATTCGCTCAGTGCGAAGTCAGCAAAAGTAATATTAGCGCTAGCTGCGGATATTTTGTGCATTTTGGGGCGATATTTTGTAATTTTGGCATATAATAATAATAATAATAATAATAATAATAATAATAATAATAATAATAATAATAATAATAATAATAATAAATGCTTTTATTGGCCAAACTAAGTACCTAATACAAAGAAAGAAAAAAAAATATATATAAATACAAATAGTTTGCCAAATGGCAGAGTTCAAAATCTCTGATAAAAATCAGAGTTTTGCTCTTCCACTCAACCAGTATTATGATAGACATACCTATACATCTTTCGATGTATAGATGTGCCCTGCATGTTTACTTAATAATTATTCAATCTAGCGCACAATATGGCTTTACGAATATGAGAGAAAAAAATATTGAAAATCCAAAACCGTAAACAACTTAACATCTTAACTTTAAAAATAAAAATCAGCCAGATGAGTAAGAACCAGTAAGTATATCAATAATAACATTACAATAATACTATAATATAATAAAAACGAATATAAAATTTAATTTTATCTAAAAACTATAACTATCGACCTACAGAATTTATTAGTAATTTTCTA